TAATGTATTATATCGTAATGTAATGTATGCATGTATGCATGTACGCATGTATGTGTATATATATATATATATGGACATACGTATATACCACTGAGTCGAACGGGGACAGTTGTTGGTGTGAAGCAGTGCTTAGCATAAGCAGACCAGCCCCGCCATTAGTGATCGCTCGCCTAGGCCATGTCTGAGGTCCCAAGTGTCAAACATACCGGCTGCAATTAGCTCAGTATTAATATCCGCCGGTTCATTCCACCACATCTTTGCGGACTATAATTCCGGACGGCTGGCATAATGCGAGCAGGACAGCTGGAAGCAGCTGCAGAGCGCTCCTGGTATTGCTAGTTTGTGGGCCACATGCTTGTCCCCAAACGCCATCTCAAAAGTTAAGTCGGTTCCACTTTGTTCGTCGCAGTGCATGCGTTGAAGAGGCCTTGCTGGAGTTGATCAGGTCAAAGTATATTACCCTTCGTCGAACACGCCTGCAACCCAGATGCTGGTTGACAATTTCAATCGCCCAGAGCTTTCAGAAGTCGCATGATCAAGCGGACAAACACATGCAGCCGCCACATTCTGTCACCACAAACTGACCCCAGTTGTCCTATATGTTGTCAACCACAATCAGTTCGAGTTTCTTTGATGCCAGCCAAACCATGTGACGAAGCAGCACGATCATTAGAAGCCGAACGTCATCCCTCGCTGTAGCAGCTGTCAGTGTCAGCCCAGGCCCTCGCCTGACGCTTCCTTGCCGTCCGAGCTAGCAAACAATAGCAGCTTCAATAACAGCCCTATATATTATAATGCTTGTTCATGGCGGTTGCGTCTACACGTTATAAAGCATTAGACTGAAATCATACGGATCGCTGGTCGGCTCCTGCTGTCCGCTCTGCTAAATAAACATCCGACTTGTAACTGTGCCCCGATCAACTTGTTGATTGAGCCATTGGCTTCTCAGCGTGATTTATGGTGTTTCAGGCTTCAGCAAATTTCGCGGTGTCGTGTGCAGATCCTGAAACCGAGCTGGAGTTCCCGCAGTGTACTTGCAAAGCCAATGCTCCAAGTCCAAAGCCAACGTGAGAAGCTATATGGTCTGGCACCTCTGCCTGAAAGCGATTGCCTCCGGGAAGAAAACAGGCTTCGTGCCTTCGTGTTGAAACTAATGTTTTCATCCTTAGATGTATAGGGTTCGGCTTGTGCAACGGACTACCCGTCGCTAATGTAAGCTTGGCGGCTTAGCCCTGAGCACCCTAGTATTACCGGCTTGTAGACATTAGCATCCTTGAGCTTAGAACCCACGACCCTGCAGCCATTACGGTGCCAGGTCTGTCTTAGCATCCATTGTTGATATCCGGTTTTATGCCTCTTGGGTTAACATGACCGCACCTGCTGCAGGGTCTTCAGCCTCACTTTTCCACACGATTTCCTTGCGGCCAACCAAGCGATTCGAAATCTACCGGATTTTGGAGTTTAGGGTCTCTATGTTTGTGTTGATAGAGGTTGCAGACAGTCGAGTCCCTTGTGAAAAAAGGGGTCTATAAACCGTATGCAGCTTATTGGATTCTGCTTAACTTGCAACATCAGGTTTGTAGATCTCAGCTTCTATCGGAGTTGTTGTGGCAGTTGGATTGCGGGTTCATAGGGCTTAGGGTGAGTACTGTTGCTCATCCTCAGGCTCTGCTGCTTCTTGGCCATCTACCGTGGCTCCGAAGGCTTTACAAAAGAGGAGGCCATGCCAGCCCTCCCGCATGCAAACACATGTCCTCTGTGTAATTCTAGTCTTTGTAGCACTGCAGGTCCGCCTTTCGGAAGTTTTAGCGGATAGGGCTTGGCGAGCCTTGTTCATTATAGCAGAATATACACTCCACCAAAACCTGGAGCCCACAGCCTGCTCGGGAGGCTCTCAGAGAAAAAAACAAGGGTGAGGGAGGGACGGACGGGAAGGGAAGGGAGCTTAGAGGTACATGTCGTCGTCTTTGTTGTTGTTGTTGTTGTTGTTGTTGTTGTTGTTGTTGCTGCTGTTGGTGGTGCTGGTGCTGGTTTTGGTGCTGCTGTTGCCGTTTGTCGTGCAGTTGCTGTTGTTTGGTTGCTACGACTGCTGCTGCTGGCAGGGTTGGTAGGGGCGGTTTGTGCGTTTTGTTGTCGTTTTGCACGCCGCCAAGGACACCCAGGCTGTGCGAGGGGATAGGTGGGTCAGGCTCTAGACTCTAGCCCCGTCGCAGATACGGTGGTGGCGAAGGCGCTGGCGGTGGTGCTGGTGGTGGTTTTGGTGGTGGTGATGCCCCCGATCATGCTTCTTTTGCAGGTTGAGAACTTGCGCGCGCTGTTCGACCCCTGCTCTGTGGCTGTTCGGCTGCAAACAACGTGCTTTAGTGTGGCGATGACCATGGGCGACCATCGGAGATAGTTTCAAGTCAGGAAAACCAAACCCATGCATAAAGCCTTAGCCCCAGACGGGGATTCTAGTTTGGATCGACTAGACCACTGGGTTTCTCTCCGTAGATGAGGGGTCGGGGGCTAGGGGGTGTCCCTGGAACCCATCATGCAGATACATGGAAATTCTAGGGTTGATCCTAGCCTGCTACCACAGAGGTACAAGAAGTGCTCGCCATGCGTTCAAGCCAGCGCCCTCACCTTCTCCTTTTTGCCACGGGCGCAAAAGCAAAAGCAGTTGAATCTCAACCAATTATCTGCCGAGTTGTCTCCCAGGGCGATGCACTGGACTCATAGTCACTAGAGGATGCAAGTTTACAGGACCAGGTCATGACTAGGCACGGCATGTGCAGTGAATCATTTATAACTGATTCGACACTTTATCGTGGGAGAAGACGTTTGTCACGCCCACAGGCCCATGAGTTGCTGGCCTCTGTGCCGCAGTATTCTTATGTACTCGTACAGCCGGACGGGGAGGCAACCAAACAGGAGGACAGGTATAAAATGGAGCATGGGCAAGCCTGGCCCTTCGATTTGCCGAGGTGGAGACAGTGCAATCAGGACGGGAAGCTGGTTGCCATTGGGGCTTCCGGGTGCTCTGTCGATTTTGTGCTCTGACATGTTCAAGCTCGCACGGCTGTAATAGTTAGGCACTTCGATCATGCGCCGAGCAAGGAAAGCACACTCGATAGAGTTGTAGCAGCAACGACAAATGCAAAGATGCATAGTTTTTTTGATGCACCTTTTCGAAGATTCAGACGAAATTGCCTTATGAAGATGAGATGTCAGAAGTCGTGCCGCAAAGTATTTTGTGCGATGTGGTTTCCAGTCCTTTTGTCACACTGGCCGAAACCACGCTTCACCGGGAAGACACTAAAGCTCCTAAATCCCAAAAAGCACGGGAAAACTGACATTCAGCGACTACATAGAGGGATCGGGGCCCATTCAAAGCAGGCCGGGGGGTCAAGTGGTCCGTACGGGCCGCACCTGGGGTTATAACTTTGTAAATATGGGGTCAGACATGACCTGCCAGATCTGCCAGTTTGTATTCGCGTGGGGAGTTCCTGCATAACAGTGCGATGGCAGCCAAGGCTCCGATCCGAGAAACAAGGAAGCAAGACAGCAAGCCCCCCTCAGGACGGCAAGAGCTGCGCAGGACTTAGTGTGAAGAGTATCGCATGTGGATGTGACAGGTTGCGATGTTGCGACCGGCCGTCGTATGCCGGGGACTCCGACAGTGCCCAATACCGACCCAGGATCCTTTGATTGGCCTGGCCCCAGCCGAATGTACCTGCTCTGAGACTTCGCTCGTTCGTCATCTATCTACTCGGCGTTTTCTCTTCCTCCTTTCTTCGTTCCGGTGTTTGTGGGTGTCTGGCGGCGTTGTTCTCGTCCCGCTGTCAGTCTTTTTGCAAGGTCCAATATTGTGTCCGTTTGTGAGTTGCTCAGTTTGTTCGAGTTTGAGATTGACTTTTGTTGCGCTGTTTCTGTGTTTAAGTTGAACTACTGCACGCTGGTGCGGGAGCGCTGGGGGGCTTGGGTGCGTAATGTTGTGCGTCACAGGCAAGAGGTCGCAAGAGTGGATCCCTTCCCGCCCCCGAGTGTGGGTAGGTTGCGAGGGGTCCTTAAGTCCTCTTCAGCCTGAACCTCTGAACCCGAAAAAGAAGTAAGCTTCCGCATATGTATAAACAATCATTTACATTACATATATATATATATATATATACACATGCTTATGTTTGTATACACATAGATAGTCTATGGTCGTCATCTGTAAATTCAGACATGTATATGTATATATATATATATATACACTCATACGCAATTATGTGCACGTGTGAAAATGCCTTCTTCGGTAATCAACGGGCATTCTTTGCTACGTGCCCATCAGGCCGGTCGAGCCCAAGTTGGCGGGTCGGCACTTGCCGTCGCTGCTGATCCAGGCTCTGATTCAGGAGTTCAACCTCAAATCCTAAACCCTAAACCCTAAACCCTAAACCCTAAACCTTTATAGAAAGGGCTTCTGTGCTTCAGGCTGGAGCTAGAGCAAGCCTGAGCAGGCGATTCTTCACGTACCAAGCCCCTGAAAACTTGGACTGGCGAAGCTCTAGCGTCATGTCACGTGTGCCCTGCAGGCTTTCTCAACGCAAGGGTCGAAGGCAGCCAGCAACACTGGCAACGAGAAAACGGGTGAAATAGGGTGAACAAGTGATAGAGAACAGTAAGCAGCTCTGTGTAAAAGGAGTCTGTTTGATGTGTGTGTATATATATATAGATATATTTATATATACAACACATATGTACACATGCCTCTTATGTATATGGATGGGCCGATGGATGTATGGATGGATAATGACGGACGGATGCATGTATGTACGTGCTTTCGTGCAGCGCGATGTTGTGCGATTGTTTCAGGCTGGTTCACGTTCGAGGTATTGGCCAGGGCTTGATCCTGAATTGCGCTGCAATTCATTACCGCAGCCCTGCAGGCAGGCCCAAAACAAGGAATTGAAGATCCAGGGGCTTCAACTGATCCCTGCGAAAGTGTGTTCGGACACAGGGGGTCTGGTTAAGAGGCCTTTGGAATGCAAGTCGCGGACAACGTGGAAGAGCTGGGAACTCGGCTGTGGGTGTGGGTAAAATTGTTCTTTCTTCGGCTAGGCCGCGTAATGCCGGCGGTTTACATGCATGAACTGGTTAACTATCCGGACCTGGGAAACTTGCCCCACCTCTTCGTGGCCTCTGTCCCGAAAGCTTCACCCCCGGGACCTTGACAACTTTCCATTCGTGAACCCTGTGAACGCTGAAAACCTCAACTGAATCGGCTGGCCTTGAACCTAAACCTTTAAATCCTCAAGTAGCTCCTCCAATGCTTCTGCTACCCAAAGGGCCCAAGTTCCAGCATAGTACATACTGTCTTTGTCCCCAAGTATCAACACCGAGCGTACCTACAAAATACGCCCAATAGCTTGAACCCTAGATCCCAAATTTTCGACTTGGACCCTTTGGACTAGGTTGCAGCAACTGCTGGCCTCCGGCGTTGCCCTTGGAGTCGAACTTTTTATGGGCCGCGAGAAATCCTATATATATATATATATGACTGATGTATATATATATATATACATTATATTATCGTATTATATATATATATATGCGCATGTATGTATATATATATATACACACATATATATATATATATATATTGTGTATAAGCCTTTTGAACTGTATATATATATATATATACAAGCCTTTTGAACTAAGGGGCTTGTACGGTGTAGGGTTTGGGGCTTTTCTCTTGGCATATTTGTTTGGGTTCAAGAGCGGATTTGGGATTCGGCGTGTCTCGGGCGAAAGACTAGGTCTGTATTCAGGCGAAGGCAGTGGCGTTGTGCTCTTTGTAGCCTTGAGCTGCTGCATGCCTCATGTTTGTTGCGAGCGCCCTTCAAGCCTAATTTCTCGTACAGTGTAGTTTCCAAACCCCCTAACATCCCCAAACCACAAACCGTCGTAAACCCAACTAGGCCAAAATATATCCAGATCCCTTCGCCCTTCAGCTGAAACCTCAACCCTAAAGCCTTCACCGCTCGACCCCTTAGTCCCTCAAATCGGAGATGGCAAGAGCCCTGAACTCTGACTTTTGAGGTTATTTCACACCAAACCGCCAGAGATGTAGGGGTTAGATAGGCCTTGGGGCGGAATATCTTCAATCCAGAGGCCCCCCCAAAAAAAACACCCGTGAGGCCCCAATGAGGCTTAGTCTGGGAGGTCAAGGCTTCCGCAAGACGGCGACCAACGAAGCGACCGGTGAGGGCTCCGAGCCAAGAACTCAGAGCCCGATCGTTTCACTGCTGTGGCTTCGGGGATTTCGGGCATAAGGGTTGAGGGTGTAGGCTCTTGGGTCTCCGTTTCGCTTCATAGAAGTTAGGCTTGGGCATCGGACTGGGGAGAAGTTGAGATGTTGAAAGCCAGGGCTCGGCACGCCATCGAAACTTCTTCCGGGATCCCGACGAAACAACCATCCAGTGGGATTCCCCACGGGCAGAAGTTCGTGAGAGCATTTCTTGTTCGGAATAGCTTCAAGGAGAACCACGCCACGGAGCTTTAGTCCAATTGTTCCACAAAACATCCTCCAACGCTTCAAGTTGAAAGCTTGAAATCGCCTTCAACTTGAACCTGCAAACTCCAATTTCAAAAATTCGAAGACCTCATCAATCTAGGCCCTCACCCTGGCTATGCCCAGAAGGCGGGATGCAAAAACAAAGAAAACCAGGCTGGACCTCGATCTTCCCCGTGTTGGACCCTAAGTACTGTTTCTTAGATTATTAAGGACTATTAAACCCTAAACCCTAAACCCTAACGCCCACATATACATATATATATAT